GGAACAGTAGTTTTGAGGAGTCCTCCCTTGGGGCCTCCCTCACCAAAGGAATCAGACTTGCTCTGAAGTGAGTATTTAAGCCAGATGTGTGTTTAGGGCTTACACAGTTATGACTTGGAGCCATACTGGGTTTTGAGAAGACCGTCTGTGCTAGCACAATCAGTCAGGGTGTTAGCATCCAGTCTCTCCACAGGAAATTTGGTGCATGTAAATCCAGAGACTGGGAGAGCTGCAGGCTGAGTGGAGACTGCCAAGCACACAACCTAAAAGGGTTAGCTTGACACATGGACCACTGTGGTCCCCACAAACGTTCCTACTAATTTTTGGTCCAGCCTTAGGGAAGCATGTTCCTCAGGTCCCTATATTGTTCTGAGAACTTGGGAAGGAAGTAGACTGAATCATGAGAAATGTCAGATGTAATCCAGGACTGACATCTCATCAGAGGGTTTAGTGGTGACTGGTGCTGGGGAGATGAAGGGCTTCCCCAGTCCCAGCCCTGGGAAGCGTGTCGTTGGTCTTTCATCTCCGGCATTTGGGTGGAGTTACTCTCTTGTCTTGGTCATCACGCCTATCAGAAACCAGGCTCAGAGTGTGTATGAGGAGGCTGCAGCTGGGACAGGGCAGGCACACACAGGTTCTGTACAGGAAGCTGTAGGGGTCTGACCTTGGAATCCCAAGTCACATGAGTTTTTCACTGGGTGAGCCTCTCACATTGGAGTTTGGGGTCAGGTTAGGGCAGGTTCTTGGAGGAGATGACTCTGTGGTTGGATCTGGAGAATGGGAGGAGTTGGAAGCTATTAGTACGTGTATGTGAATGTGTGTATGTGTATGTGTGTATATGTCTATGAATGTGTGTGTATGTGTATCTATATGAATATGTGTGTGTGTGTAGTACTTCTGATAACTTCATTTTGAAATATCTTCAACATTGTCTTAGAGTTTCATTGCTGTGAAGAGACACCATGACGAGACAACTCATAAAGAAAAACATTTAATTGGGGCTAGCTTGCAGTTTCTGAGGTTTAGTCCATTATCATCATGACAGCAAACATGACGGCATGCAGACAGACTTGGTGCTGGAGAAGTAGCTAAGAGTTCTACGTCTGGATTTTCAGGTAACAGGAAGTGACTGTGAACCACTAGGCCTGACTTGAACTTCTAAGACCTCAAAGCCCACCCAGTGACACACTTCCTCCAACAAAGTCACACCTACTTCAACAAGGCCATGCTTCCTAATAGTGCCACTCCCTATGGGCCTAGAATGGCCATTTTTCAAATCACCACAAACATCTTCCACTCAGAAATACATTTCTTCCTTCTTCATGGCAGAGTTGTCCAGTATGGAATCAAACACATTTTAACTCCACCCTTACCACCTGAGAGAAAATTGTACATAGCACCTGAGCTTTGTTGCCAGCACTGGCGTAATCACACTTGTCCAGGACACCGTGAGACACAGTGAGGGGTGTCTGTACCAGGGTCTTTTTTGAGCCACCAACCAGCTCCCAAATCATGACACAGAGACTTAATATTAATTTTGAATGCTCTGCCTAACTTAGGCTTGTTTCTGTCCAGCTCTTTTAACTTAAATTAACCTGCTTCTCTTTACCCATCTTTTGCCTCAGGTCTTTTTACTTTTCTTTAATTCTGTATATCTTACTTTTACTGTGTCTGTCTTTACTTTCTTGTGCCTGTCTGCCTGGCTTCTTGCCCTGGGCATGTCCCTCATTCTCTCCTCTTTCCTTTCATTCTCTTGAGCCTAGATCTCTCCTCCCATTTATTTTCTCTGCCTGGCAGCTCCATTTATCCTTTCTCTGTCCAGCTATTGGCTATTCAGCTCTTTATTAGACCAATCAGGTGCCTTAGACAGGTGAAGCGAAACAAACGCAACACATCTTTACGTAATTAAACACAGCCCCTTACATAATTAAACAAATGCAGCATAAACAAATACAACACACCTCTACACAGTTAAATATTCTACAGCACAAACAAATGTAACACATCTTTGCCTAGTTATATTCTACAACAGGTGTCCATGGGGGGCGGTCAGCGCAACAACTGGTGAACAGCTTTTGTCGTCAACACATTGCAGCTGTTCTTCTTTGCACCTAACTTGCTGCTCCTGTCCGGGTCATCACCAAGAGCCACCACCCCGTCAGCCTCACCTGCTCTTCCAGGTCTGGGGAGGCCTCAGTTTCACCTTTCAGCTCAGGATCTGGTGGACTGGACCCAGAGTTTGTGAGACAAGCTCTTGTGAAGGGAGTTTGGGGTAACAGAACCAATTCAAGAGTAGCCCTGGGCTTTTGCTCACGTTGAGGGGAGAGGTATGGAGCGGGGTTGAGAAATCTTGACAGCACATAGGAAATATGGAGGCAGGTGGACAACTTGGGGTACTTAAAGACCCAGATGTTTGGAACTCTCAAATCCAAAGCTCATACCGGGTCACCAAGTCCATAGGTCCTCAAGGAGGAAGAACAGTTTTGACTGTGTGTTGGACCTCCATGGTCTGGTAGGGACTGACCATTCCCTGGGGCCAAGTACAAGTGTTGTAGGTTACCTTGAGAACTTGATTCTTGGCGCTGTACTTGGGGGGCTCCTGAGAGGCTCTTTATCTCAAAGCTGATGAGGTACACAGAGGGAGGATGCCTTGCCCTTTGTTCTTGGCCATAGCTCATCCTGTGACCCAACTGAGAAATCACGGTTCTGAGTCTGGCTAATAATCTAAAGGAAGCAGCCTAATATGGCCTCCCTCTGCACCTTGATCACTTCACAGAGTGCAGTGTCCACAAGCCCTGGTAGAACTTGGCAACTGGGCACACTCAGGCCCTCCACCGAGGAAGAAGCCTGCGAAGACTTTAGAAGTATGAGAGCCTAAGATTCGCTCACACTCAATCTTGAGGGGGTGGCTCCTGGGGAAAGGGGGGGACAGCTGATGTTCTCTAAACTCGTAAGTGACAAAATGGTCTCTGCACCTAGGGAGGCACAGGATCCTTGTATCTGGATACATAAATAGGTGCTGATGATGATCATGTTCTTTCTCCTCTGGATTCATGCTTTCTGGCCTAGAATCTCCACCACAGGTGAGTGGTTTTGAATTCTGGCAGTGGCATTTCCTCTACACCCCATCTCAGCATCTCTTGCCACATGTGGTCTCTGGGGGGGTATACACACACACACACACACACACACATATATATACATATATATATATATATTTAATCAAGACAGGGTTTCTCTGTGTCATAGCTCTGGCTGTCCTGGAACTCACTCTGTAGACAAGGCTGGCTGGGATTAAAGACGTGCACCATCACAGATTGGCCTCTGGGGGGATTTTGCAGGCAGAGCATCTATGGGGCCTTTGACCTGGCCTCCTATGGACATAGCTTTCACTGGAGGGCCCAGCTCTTCCTCACCATCACTATCATAGCTGTTAGCAGCCTTCATTAGCAAGGTGGGTGTCCTGGAGCACTGTGGGGTGTAGCTTCTAGGTTGACCATTTGCAAGGCTCTAGATTCAGTCTCCAGTAATGAAAAAATAAGGAATAGAGCAATTGTTTTGTCCTGCATCTTTTCCAAACCTTCATTCCATGGGAGGGGAACTAAGAGACAGGAGGCATTGGTTCAAGAGCACTCCCAGTCTGATGGAGGCGGTGGACAGTATCCAGGGGACAGACTGATGAGGCTAGAGCAATGGATTTTAGAATGTATAGGTTTTTGTTGTTACTGTTTCTTGAGACAGGATCTCTTTATGTAGTTCTGGCTACGCTGGTACTTGATATGCAGACCAAGCTGGCTTTGAACTCACAGAGATCCTCTTGTCTCTGCCTCCTGAATCCTGGAATTGAAGTCACATGCCACCACACCCAGGAGAGCAATGGTTTTTATGTATAACCTCCATAACAAAGGAGAAAACATATAAGCCTGTTTCAGAGGTCAGAGTTCCATTATAGTGCCTGTAGCACACAACGTCCCCTAACTGTAGCTTCAGGGAGTATGACACACTCTTCTGGCCTCTGCAGGCACCTTACACCTTACACTGGTACACTTAAGTGTGGACACACAGACACAGACACAGACACACAGACACACAGACACACACACACACACACACTAAAAGAAATCTTAAAAATCAAGTCCTAGAAAAATTGGACTTCCAGTAATCAGAGCAAATAGCAATTCTTCCCTAATGGAAAATGGAGGGGAGCTGAGTGTCACTTACAACATGTCTGACAGGATACCCCTATAATGGGCAGACACTCCTGGGGAATCTTTCCTGATTGGTGTCCAGTTTATGTGCCCTCCACATTGCTCTGCCTACAGTGTCTGCCATCCCTGGTTTCTTGGAAAATCTTGGATGGAGGCAACTCTTGGTTCTTCCAATGGAATATGCACACTAAATGTACCACCCCAAACAGATATGCACTCAAGATTAACGACTTACATCCCCAGTCAGGGACAGTACCATGAGGGCAATCCCATTCTTGGGTTCTGTAAGGTAGGAAGAGTCAGGTGTGTGTGTATGGGGGGCAGTGAAGGACATAGGAAGCAATTAGCAGTGTACATCAGGGAATAGGGTATGGGCAAGTTTTGTTTTGGTTTTTTTTTTACAGTTAAGTGGCTTGAAGTGATAGTGAAGCCGGCCTTCCCATCCTCCAGGAGAGTGGTGGCTCAGTCTTTCTCTCTCCATAGGTTTGGGCCTCTGAGGTGTGGTGTTCTATTTTAATATCCAGGCAGCGACCTTTTCCTGTGTTGCTCATATTATAGTAGAGTCTGTGATTTTTGGAGATAGATCGTAGAAATGTTCTAACCCAAATAATAAAGGGAAAAAAGGCATATTGCTTGGCCTTCCCTTTATATGTGTTTGTATATATTTTTTCCATCTCTGGGTTTATTCAGTTTTTGTTTTGCCCTGTAATAATCCTGAGCACTCTCTCTCTCTCAAAACTCTGCCTCTCAAAACTCCAATTAGAACTTTGCAACTGTAACCAAGTGAGGTCACAAAGCTCCAGGGACGGAGTGTCCTGAGAGATGGGGATTTTGTGAGCTCTTCAGGTTGGAGCTAGGCTTTGGTGCTCGAGAGCTGTGGAGTAGTCAGAGCTCCTTTACAATGGTGAGGCTTGCCTATGTCTCGTCAGTCACGTGGCTTGAGGGTCCCAGACTCCACCCGGTGTTCTAAGTGCTGCCAGCCACAAGTCATCTGCTGTATCCCACTTACCTTGGGCACATGCGACAGGAGAGGGGACAATGGGGTACAAGAGACATTTGTGGGAGATGATGTTTTACAATCTGGCCCTGTCTGTTCCCCATGTTCTCTCTGTGAAATCGGCACTGGTGCTGGTGTGAACAACTCCTCATCAGGGTGGAGGCATGTGTGGCTTCTTCCCTCCTTCAGAGTGTAGAGCAAAGGGCCCAACTTAAAATGTAGTCTGGGCAGCTGGGGAGACATCGCCATCCATGAAGTGTGCTTATTGTACAATTATGAGGACCCAAGCTTGATTCCTAAAATCCATGTGAAAATCCGGGTTTGGTGGTGTGTGCTTGTAATCCCAGAGTTGGGGAGGCAGAGACAGGAGGATCCCTGGGGCTTTCTGGCCAGCTAGTCTAGTCTAATTGACAAGCCCTAGACACCAGTAAGAGACCCTGTCTCAAAAAAACAAAACAAAACAATACAAAACAAAAATAAGGGGAAACATGCCCACAGCCAAGGCGAAGCTTCCTAGGGAATAACACTCAAATCTGACCTCTGGCCCACACACACACACACACACACACACACACACACACACACACACACACCTCTCAAATATTTAAAAATTTAAATTATGAATTACCATTGGGTTTTCTTAAATGATGGTCATAGGTGGTAAATTTCAGTGCTTGATTCCACAGAGCTTAACTCCCCGTTCTTGGGATGAATCCCCGGTTGTTCAATCCCTAGAGTCCCTTGACAGATGTTTGGAGTCTGCATCAGGTTCTCTTTACTGCCTCTCAGTCTGGTCCAACGAAGTCGCTGAATTCTTCCAGGAACACAGATAGAGAACCAGATGCCTGGAGAAGAGGGTCTGGCGGGGACCCCCAGTGTCTGCTGGGTACTAGGATTGCTTTATCCTTGTCTTCCCCCACCCCTGACCTCTGCTCTGCTCTGCTGCCCCACCACAGTGTGAGGAGATGAAGGCCACTGTGCAGAAAGGTGTGCAGAGCCCTCGGCACAGCAAGGAGGCCCTGAACAGACTTAACCAAGCCATCCAGCAGCTGAAGACGGAGGTGGGCGGTGCTCAGAGCCAGGTGAGGTGTTGGTGGGGGTGGCAGCAGGGCAGCTGGGGGAGGGGATGGGTGTCATTACCACACCTTCTCTAGATTCTCTCATCCTTTGGAAAAGGTGAATTTTTGTATGTGTGTGCATGAGCGCGCGCTCGTGTGTGTGTGTGTGTGTGTGTATGTGTGTATGTGTGTGTATATGTGGTGTGAGTGTATGTGTTTGTGTGTATGTATGTGAGAGTATGTGTGTGAGTGTGCGTGAGAGTGTGTGTGTGTGGTATATGGTGTGTGCACATGTGTGTGTGTATAGTGTGTGTGTGTAGTGTGTGTGTGTAGTGTGTGTGTGAGCACAAGCACATAGAAGTGCTGGCTGCATGTGCCACTCATGTTTCCCTTCGGGCTCTGTTTTATATGGAAAGGCAATTAACCAAGAGGATATGTATCAATGCATATTGCTTGGCCTTCCCTTTATATGTGTTTGTATATTTTTTTCCATCTCTGGGTTTATTTGGTTTTGTTTTGCCCTGAGCTTAGGCTCAGAAGTAACAAGATTCACCAGAAACTCAGTTTTCCTTAAGCACATGAAAACCAAGTGGGTGTGGTAGCACACAGCTGTAACTCCAGCATCCAGATCTCAAGGCCATCAGGCGCTGTACTGAGTTACAGGGCTTATTAGAGCTTGAGTTCTGGTTCATCAGCAGAATGTTTGCCTGACCTACCCAAGGCCCTGGTTCTCATGCCCTTCAGTGAAAAACAAACATAAAATTGAGCCCTAATCCTTGTGCTCGGGAGGCCGAAGCAGAAGAATTTCCAGTTGAGGCTAGTCTGTGCTGCACAATGGGGTTCAGGCATTTCTAGAATAAACAGACCAGAGACACTGTCCCAAAACTAACAAGCAAACCCATAAAAACAACACAGAGAAGACAAAGCCACCCTCTCCCCTCAGCAAAACCAAAACAAACATATGAAGAGCTAGCAGTAGCAAACGGAGATGGGACGTCTAGCTACTCCTCACAGGCCACCATCTATCTCCACCACTCCTGACTGTGTCCTCTGACACTTGACTCTAACTCTCATTGCTCTGATGGCGCCGGCGCTGTCCTGTAGCAGAGGAAGGGCTCTGACTCCGTGCTCCTCCAGGACTGTGTTTATAGAGAAAGACTGAAGGCATGTAGGAGAAGTCCTGGCCTTCCCAAGTCCCTCTGGGAACAGGATTTTGTGTGTTGGGCACTTGGCCTTCATCTTTTTTACTTCCTCCAGGCAGACCCGGAAGGTGTTTGTGATTCAGGCTCAGGTCTCCAGGGGGATTGAGTTTGCTCATGGATACCTTCCTTCTCCCAGTCTCTTGCTCTCCAGCCTCCTCCTCTCTCTACCCTTGAAGCCTTCTCTATTAAGTCTGCCTGGCTCACCCTGTGCCCCTGCCCAGGGCTTTCTGTTCTGGGTCTGGTCTTACTTTTTGCAGTTTTATGTGCCTTAGGCTTGTGACATATTCTTGGTGTTATGGTTCCTTGTCCAGGAACTGGTGGCTTTGAGACGAATGGACCAGGTGAGGTTCCAGTGGTGACAGAGAGGGTGGGAAGGCCCACAGTGGTTGAGTCTTCCACTAGACACAGTAGCCCCGGTTGCTCAAGCAGCAGGCACCCTATGGGAAAGGAGTCTTTCTGTTCACTTCAATTTGGTTCTGATTTGGGTGGTCCTGGGGGCAGGGCCCAGAGCCATTCCCTTAGTAGTGACTACTTGGCTACTCTCTAGCCCTCTCTCCTTTTTCAGTATGAGGTGAGGGCTCCATAGGTTTCCCCAGCTGGCCTTTCACTCTCTGGAGCCTGGGAAGGCCTTACACTTTTGATCCTCCTGCCTCAGCCTCTCAAGTTGCTGGGATTGCAGATTTGAACCTCCAGATCCTGTTCATTCCTTATGAAACACTAACCCCAGTTTTCTTGATAAAGAGTGACACGTCTCTAATCTTAAATCTTAACTCACGTGAGGAATGCCATCTTGAGATTGAGGTCTTAGCCATTCCAGGTGGTGGCTTCTAATGTCAATCGAGTGCAGGGGGTGGGCACTTTGTTTTATTTTATATTTCTATCTCATGGTCTAGACGTACTCCAATAAGTGCAAAAATTTTAGAGCAGACCCTCCACTTCCTCCTGACCATGGATCATCTTCCCCCATTGGCCCTCAGGCCTTTGAGTGACATCCGGACCTCCGAGGACAGGGGAAATGAGGTAGAGAATGTCTTTCTATCTACAGTTTTTGCTTCGTTCCCAGCCCTGTGAACTAGAGAAAGCCAAAGCCGTGGAGGCCCTGCAGGATGTGGCCTCAAGCAGCACTAAGGGCAAGCTGGCCTGGCTGGAGGCGGCCCTGCATCGGGCCAAGCAGGACATGGCACGGCAGCTCCGTGAGTACCAGGAGCTCATGATCGTCAAGTTGGGCCTGGACTTCGAGATCGCCACCTACCGCAGGCTGCTGGAGGGCGAGGAGCAGAGGTGAGATGTCAAGAGGCGAGGGGACGGGTGTCAGGCTTTGCCTCTCCTTCCGCCTGTCTTCCCACACCTTACTAGCTCCTTGAACAAAAGGGCCTCAGCACTGGTGTGGGCGGAGTCAGGGTCAGACAGCAGAGCCATTTGTCCATCAAGACGGGGAGACAGCGGTAGGAGCCAAGGCCAGACCCAAGGAGCTTGCAGGCTGGGGATATCTAGTCTGGGGGCGTGGGAGTCAGGGCTGTCTGTCTTGGGGAACCTGGTGGGCAGACTGACTTACCTATGGCTTCTTTTTTTTTTTTTTTTTTTTTTTGCCACAGGCTTGGTCTGGGACCCCGGGCAGGGAGAGAGGGTAAGTAAGTGTATTGGGTAAGATGTGAGCTCTTTTATTATCCCTTCCTCATTCCTCCGGTTCCTTTCGGTTCCTTGAGAAGGCAGAAGGCGTGTATCTGTCTCTCTGTGCAGATAGCCGTTGTCCTGGGATGTTTCTTCTGGGGGTGGGGTGGGGTTCCTGTGTATGTTCTGGGAGAGGACTGTTGTGTACCCCTCTGTGGGAACCCAACTTCCTTCCAGTGCAGAGGAGGGTCTTGGAGAAGTCTGTGGGCCTCCCTGGCAGAGACAGGGCGGGAAGGCTTCCCTGAGTCCTTGGGTCTCACCTCCCTCGTGGCTCTCCATGCAGCTCCAGGCAGCGATGTCACTGGAGGTCCTGGCCTGACCTCGGTCTCCGCCCCACTTCGGGCACCCGGACTCTGTTCCCGTGACCTGGACATGAGCGCCCCTGGCGGTGTTTGCGCGCTCTGCAGCTCCGCGGGCTGTGTCGGGGGCTTTGGCTGCCTTGCCCTTCGGTAATGCTGAACCCTTTCCTCCCGGCTTCCCTCCGGAGAAGACTAGGAAGTCGTGCTTCTGTCCAAAGACCTCTTGTCTCAGATTCCCTCGCCTACAGAGCGGGCCCTCACCCACCGTCTCTTTTGCACCTCACCTGGAACTAGACAGGATGCCTGTGGCTCACCTGACTGAACCTTGTGCCCTGCCCCTCTGACTTGCCCCATCCGTTGTTTCTAGGCTTCCCCCTTTAATAAAACTTTCCGCGGTGGCTAACCAGCCAGCCTGTCTGAGCCTGACTTCCGGGCTACCCCACAGCGGAGGTCTAGCTCTGACCCATAGGCTCCAACCAATAATACTGTGGGGGAAATACGACGGTGTGTGGGTGCAGGGTGACTTACATTTTGGGTAACTTGTTACTGTAAGACTCGGATCTTTCCGATGGGGCAGGTGAACTGTAGGGTGGAGGAAGAGAGAGACAGGGTAAATTCTGTAGACTGTGTGCCTGGGTCCACAGTCAGTCATGCTGGCTGGAGGACAGAGGACACTCCTCTGTCCACTCACCCCCTCCTTTAGGCCCTTGTTTTGGAGTTGAGGATTATTCCCAGGGACTTGTACATACTAAGCAAGTGCTCCACTGCTCAACTGCATTCCAGCACCCCTCCCCGCTTTTGAGACAGGTTTCTCACTATACAACTCAAGACTGGCATAGAACTTCCCGTGTGGCCCAGGCCTGAACTCAAGAGTCTCCCGAGTCAGCATCCCAAGTGCTGGGGTTACAAGTGTGCACCACAACACCCAGCTCTACTGGAGTGGCGGTCTAAGGTCCCACATAGTTCTCAGCCCCGGGGACTTGACAGTGACTAAGACATCCCAGCCTTGCTCCTGGAGGCAGGACACCGGCACAGAGATAAGTAGGAATAAAGAAGGATGGCGTGGGAAAGAAAGCCCGCCTCTGCTGCCCTGAAACACACTAGAGGCCAGGCTCAGGTCGAAGCTGGGTGGAGACAGACAGCACTGACTGGCCCAGGCCTGGGTTCTAATTCAGGAAGTGATGATGGTGGGCCAGGAGCAGGACACTGAGGCATGGGGGGGGGAACCTCACCTCTATATCCGGACCTGAGGGATAGTTTGGTCTGAGTTCTCACAAGGGACAGAAGATATCGCAGTTCTCTGAAGGAGAGGTGGTCAGAGCAAGGCTGTCTTTACAGGGCTGGAGTGTGCTTAGAGAGCTCACATTCTTTTCCCTTGTGAAAAGGATTACATCATCAGTGTGTCTTGGGAACAATAGTTCCTGCTCTCCATGTCTGTCTCTGGGTGGGGTGCAGGTGCGTCATTAGCCAGAGGCCTGGCGTTGCCTTTTAAGGAGCTTGAGTGCCAGAGTGTCTGCTGGTTCCTGCATCAGCACCTGAGGAACAGGTATCCAAAACGCGCCTTTCTTGGGTAGACATGACAGTCTCATGGAAAAGGAATGGATGGAAACTTGGCTTGCTGGTGGCCACACACATCCTTGTCAGCCCTAGTGGGTCAACTCTGGTCCTCTCTAATCAGATACTCATTCTTTTTTTTTCCTGAGACAGGGTTTCTCTGTCCTGTCATAGAACTCACACAAATCTGCCTGTCTCTGCCTCTAGAATGCTGGGATTAAAGGTGTACACCACTACTACCCAGCTCAGATATTCCTTTTTTTCTGATTCTCCTGACACAAGGAGCCCTGGGAGTGCAGCCCCCTCTGTGAGCTTCCAGAGTCCAGCTCCACGTCCCTTGTATTTTGCTGGGAGTAGTGAATTTGATATTCAAAGGCAGGTTTCCCCCTCCTGCTTCAGCACATGTGTCTGTCAGTGAGGGGTTTTGAGGGAAGTATTCACAGAAACATCTCAGGGACTTGCAGGCAGGACTCTTGGCCAGCATCCTGCATCCTGGCTCCTTGGAGACCGACTTCCCACATTTTCCCTTTCCAACCTCTAAGTTTTGATTTTCCTGGTGTCTGTCTGGAGATCCCAAGGGCTGGGGTCAGGTCTAGGCTAGGCCTAGGGTCATTTGAATCACCAGAATATCTGTGGTTTGGGACCTGTTCTCTGAGAGGTTCCCCAAGCCGTGGGCCACATTCCAGTGAGGGATGGAGGAGATTGGCCTGGTAGCTTTATGAGGAGTCATTTGTTCTGAGCTGAAGTGACTTCTGAAGAGAGCAGGGCTGTCCCCAGTTTGGTCATTGCTTCTCATTATAAGCATGAGGCAGGAGAGGAAGATGGGAAATTAAGGGTCATGGGAAGGGGGGAAAGCCTCTTACTCTATGACTTAGTGTATATGTTTAACTTGCTGAATGTATTTAACACACTGCCTGAATCAGGGACGAAGGACTAAAGAGAACACAGCCCTTTGTCTGAGAGGCAATCAACAAATGGGTTGTATTTGTTAAAGACAGAGCGTGCAACTTTGAATCTAATTTATAGGCATTCATCTCTTAATACACACCTGAAAGATGCATCTCACAAACCCTCTATAGTTTTTTAAGATTTATTTTTTGGTTTTATATATACATGTTGTGTGAATGTTTGCCATGTGCAAGCAGGTTCCTGAAGAGGCCAGAAGAGGGCATTGAATCCAACCCTAGAACTGGAGTTACAGGTTGTTGTGAGCCCCTCATGTGGATTCTGTGAACAGAACTCAGGTCCTGTAGAAGAACAAAGGGTTCTTAATCACTGGGCCATCTCTCCAGCTCTCATGAGAGGGAATTTTTTTAAGATGAGAGAAGTAAACCAGTGTATATGTTTTACACACACACACACACACACACACACACACACTTAGGTCTCTGTCCTTTTTTTTTTTTTGTAAAGATTTGTTTATTATGTATACAGTGTTCTGTCTGCACATATGCCTGCAGGCCAGAAGAGGGCATCGGATCTCATTACCGATGGTTGTGAGCCAGAATGTGGATGCTGGGAACTGAATTCAGGACCTCTGGAAGAGCAGTAACTGCTGAGCCATCTCTCCAGTTCCCTCTCTCCCTCTTAATAAACTGAACTCTGCCCACATGGACTTGTCAGAATCTCACCCGAGTGAAGGCCCTCAAGGAGAAGATTCCTTGGGAACTCCCATTCCCACTCCAAGAGGTCACCATGAAGATGGCTTCCTGTTGACTCTGCACACCCACTGTTTCCTGCCTCACACTTTGTAGCACTCAGACCTGCCAGAAGCTGACCTGGGTTCATATCTCTATTTGAGTCCCTTGAGGACAGTGACTGTCTCATTCACCTGTCTTTAAGGCCCAACCACATAAGTAGCTGTGGACAGATTGAGACCTTATGGTCTAAGTTGATCTACCCAGGGATATTTTGTGTGTTTCCCCACCATTAGCACATCCTAGCTTACATAATCCCTTGAAGTCATTTAAAAATATTTATCACAGTGTTGGAGATTGAATCTAGGGCCTAGTGTGTGAAGAGTGCACACTATGCTCCAATCTGCACACTCAACCCTTCAGGGGCATTTAGAATACCTTTAATGAAAGCAGCCAACATCACTCAGCTCTAGCTGGATCAGCAGCAGGCAGGAACAGGCAGACAAGCCAGGGTTGGAACATCAAAGACGATTCCCGAGGAACCCTTCCCAGAGTGCTACTCAGTGGCATGAGGCTGTCACCACTCCTGTTTGACTCCCAGTGTCCTCCTGTGACACCTGCCTAACAAGCACACGTGGTGTAGCATTCAGGGTTCTCTGGAGAAACAGAACCCATTGAATGCATACATATTGCAAAGGGGATGACTGGCTTGTGCAATATGGGCTGGGAAGTTCAACAGTGGCTGGCTGCACACTAGAGACGCTGAGGCCCACATAGCTGGACTTGCACATCATATCAGCCTTACAAGTCTGGCATCAAAGTCTCAGAATCATTGGTCTGAGCCCATGATGCAAGCCTGAAGAAATGGATGCCCACAGCACTACAAACAACAGACTAGATGCACTCACCAGCAAGGAGCAAAGATAGGCAGGCAAAAGCAGCATTGGCTTTCTCTGATACCTGCTCATAGCTGGGCCATAAAGTGCTGCCCCTTTAGGAGAGGGTCTGCTCCCTCAGCTAGTCTTTCCAGGGAGCTCCCTCACAGATCTGCTCAGGAACAGGCTGCTTAGTTGATCCCAGAACTAATTAGGTTGACAATCTAGATTAACCATCACGTGTTGGTTCCTATACTGCACTCAAGGGCGCACTCACAAATTCCTGAAGCTTGGAGGAGGTGAACGTTGTATAGCTGGAACAGGAAGGAGGAGAGAGGGGATCAGAGCTCAGCAAGATGAGTGATAGCAGAGCAACCCCGTAGTACTGTCGAGGCCTCGCTTGGCTGTTGAGAGCAGTGAGGTTGACAGGGAGGGGGCAGAATGGCCCATTAAGACTGGGGCTTCTGAATGGAAGAGTCCTAGAAGGCTGTGGCTGTGGCTATGGCTGAACTGGGGCTTCAGGGCTAGGATCTGGGCATAAACTCTGCTTCTTAGCTATGTGACACTCTGGGGTAGAGGGGTGTCAAGAAGAGTCACACACTCTGGAACTCTCTGAGGCTCTCTATCTGAGATGGCTGCCATTAACTTGGCCCTTCCTCTGACAAAGCCTTTGTTCAGGCCACCCTCTCCTTCTCTCTCAACAGTCTTCTTTGTGGGACTTCCATTTCTGCTTTGTCTTCTGACCCTGGGAGTGGAAGTTTAGAGACACATTCTGCTATGAAGAGGAATGTTCAGGGACAAGCCTTAAAGGCCACAGGACAGACAGCCTTACTGATCCAGCCCTAGTCGCAGAATCCTCCTCTATGAAGGAGTTTAGTGGTCCTGGGGATACAGAAATTTCTCTCCATGCTTGTGACCCCTGTTCATGAATGTGCATGTAAGAAGAGGCTGCTGGTGGTCCTGGTCCCTGGAGATATCTTATCTTTATTCTACAAAAGAGCAATAACTAATAAACACAGATAGTGGTTGCTTGTGGCAGGTCCCGCCCGACTATCATACATCTGCTTTTCTCTCCCATGGAACCTGAGTTGTGGCCCCTTTTGTCACCCACATCTTAGAGTCGTGCAAGCAGTCATAGAGAGAGCAAGCACTCAGCCTAAGCTTGCTTGGCTGGGAAGAGACAGAGCCGCCTGGGCTGTTGTTGTTTGCTGTGTTTGAGGCAAGGCAGCAGCTCTGGCAGGGCTCCAGCCCCCAAAGGGACTCCATGAAGAAAGGACAGCTAAATAAAAGGTGTTTCTTTGAAGCTTTACATCACATTCGTGTATTCATGCCTTTAGGAT